ACTAGCATGCGATATATAAGACTCATTTATCCTATGAACGGTACCCGAAACATCAAACTAGACTTAGGCACGATAAACAGAGTCCGTTGGGACACCACGGGGGTCGGGGGAACATCAAACGGGGAAGCCGGGATCCCAAAGTGGGATAATTTCCAGCGGGTAGCCGGTGGGTGGTGGACCACCCGCCGGCGACGAATTTTCGGGCAGCGGGTGCCCGGCGGGCAGTCGCCTGCCCGCCGGCTGCCCGCTGCCGGCGACGTCCCTCCTGGCCGTGGGTAGGTGGCGGGTCCCCTATCCCCACCTAACCCCCCACTGACTCTTTTTCACAAAATAACGCCCCGGGAACCTTTGTGGAACCCGAAACCATGCTTAGACACTTTAAAATGCAATTGATGGCAACACGTAGATAATTAACGGATCAAAAGCGAGAAACATACGGCACATATCCTATCATGCTTTCTAAACATAATTAACACCCCAACATGCGAATTCCCACCCAATACATTAAGAATAACATCATACGAGTTTCACGTTACATCCTAGGGCTCTAATCACAATTAAATCATCAAGGACGTAATTCATCTTTTAACACTAAGAAACAATACGATTTATCAAGAATCTCACACAATCATTAGGAATCTAGGTTTATCAAGAATATCACCCAATCATCAAGAATCTCTTTCCATCATCAAGATTATCAAGATTACCCAAGAAAGCATAACATCAATTATTAAGATCACACCATCAATATCATAAACGAATTATCAATACACAAGAATGTAGAGGGATGCCTAGAGGGAGATCATAGCTAAGAAAATAGGTTTTGTTGAGACATGGGTTACCTCTTAGCCTTAATTAATTTCCTTGGCTATGAAGGATCTTTCTCTAAGTCTTTCTTCTTTCTTGATTTCTCCTAGGGGAATTCTTGGAGCTCCTTGTGTGGTGAGAGATTATTGTGGTGGGGGTTCTAGGTGCCTCTTATGTCCCCTATTTATATACCTAGGAGTCCTAATTAGGATCTAAATCCTATAGGCTTGCTAATTCTATTCCTTTTAGGGCTAGGGGTTAGGTTTTAGAGGTGCGGGCCCACGGACTATGGTGGGCCATTTCCAAATTAATTATTGTAATTTAATTCTTTCTTTGGATAATTGGTTAAATGATTAATTGGTTTTAGGGGTCGTAACACGGGGTGTTACAGTGGACCGTAGCCCAAGGGTGTAATTCTGACCGCAGCCAGCTTCTGAACCGCAGCTCAGGAATAACCAATTTGATCGCAACCAAATTGGGGAATCATGCACACATAACACATGGCAAGTACATGCAACCCATATTAACACATTGGGAAAGGGGAGAAAACGTATAATGAAACCTATGCGTGGTCATCCACATACTAGGAATAATCCTAAGGGGTTCATACTTCTTTCACCTAGGCCAACGGGATACCAATTCAACTAGCATGCGATATATAAAACTCATTTTACGAACGGTACCCGAAACATCAAACTAGACTTAGGCACTATAAACGGAGTCCGTTGGGACACCACGAGGGTCGGGGGAACATCAAACGGGGGAGCTGGAGTCCCGAAGTGGACAATTTCCAGCGGGTAGTCGGTGGGTGGTGGACCACCCGCCGGCGACTAGTCTCCGTGCAGCGGGTGCCCGGCGGGCAGTCGCCTGCCCGCTGCCGGCGACGCCCTTTTCGGGCAGCGGGTAGGTGGCGGGTCCCCCTCGCTCCACTGACTTTTTACCAAAATAAACGTCCCGGGATCCGTTGTGGAACCCGAAACCATGCTTAGACACTTTTTAACGCAATTGATGACACCACGTAGACAATTAACGGATCAAAAGCAAGAATCATATAACACATATCCTATCATGACTTCTAAACATAATCAACACCCGAACATGCGAAATTCCCACCCAATTATATCAAGAATAACACAATACGAAATTTCCAATTTTAACCTAGGGCTCTAATCATATTCAAATCAATAAATCATAGTTCATCTTTTAATCATCAAAACATCAGGATTCATCAAGAACATCATGTAATCATCAAGAACCTCTTATCATCATCAAGATCATCAAGAACACACATAAAATCATCTCACAATCATCAAGATCATATCATCAATATCATAAACGATCCATCAAGACACAAGTATAGAGAGGATGTCAATGAAGATAATTATAGCAAGGAAAATAGGGTTTGTTGAGACATGGGTTACCTCTTAGCCTTAATTAATTTCCTTGGCTATGAAGGGTCTTTCTATAAGATTCATTCTTTCTTGATTTCTCTTAGGGGGATTCTTGGAACTTCTTGTGTGGTGAGGGATTATTGTGGTGTGGGTTCTAGGTGCCTCCTATGCCCCCTATTTATATACCTAAGAGTCCCTAATTAGGGTTAGTTCTATTCCTTCTAGAACTAGGGGATTGGGCTTAGGGATTAGGGCCCATGGACTATGGTGGGCCTTTTCTTAATTAATTATTAGAATTTAGTCCTTTCTTTTGGGTAATTGATTAAATGATTAATTGGTTTTAGGGGCTGTAACACGGGGTGTTACAAGCCTTCTGCGCCGATGGGTGTTGCCCCTGTTGTGCCTCCTCCTGGATTCGAGCCATTGCTGAGTGCGGGCGGAGGAGGAGAGAACCCTTTGGATCCTGGTTTCCTTACTTCATGTGCCGACCTTCAGGAACTCGTTGGCGTTTCCTTTGGGGAGTTGGATGGTGTAGACCCAGGCGAAGCTGAGCAGGGGGATGCCTCAGCTTATGCTTCCGTTCCTTAGGGTACATGTGACCTGCTTCTGGTGGTTGTGGTGACTTCGACATTCTTGCTTTGTTACTTTTGCTCATACGCCGGGTAGTTGATGATTTGGTCCTTTTATTTTGTGTTTTTGTCTGTACACCGGATGGTTGGTGCCTTAGTCGCTCTATTTTGTCTGTATACCGGATAGTTGGTGCCTTAGTCGCTCTATTTTGTCTGTACACTGGATAGTTGGTGCCTTGGTCGCTCTATTTTGTTTATTTTGCATGTACACCAGATAGTTGGTGCCTTGGTCGCTCTGTTCTGTATATGTTGATTTTAGTTTTAACTCATCAACTTTTTGGCCACCCTGCTCAACTTCCGAGAGCATCTCCCGTTCTTTATCAGTATGTTGTTCCACCAATGGCTATTGAGAACGTCTCTCGTTCTCTGTCAGTATGTCCATCCACCAGTGGCTATTGAGAACGTCTCCCGTTCTCTGCCAGTATGCCCATCCACCAGTGGCTATTGAGAACGTCTCCCGTTCTCTGCCAGTATGCCAATTCATCAAAAAACTTTTGAGAACGTCTCCCGTTCTCTGTTATTATGCCATTCCACTAATGGCTTTGGAGAACGTCTCCCGTTCTCTGTTATTATGCCATTCCACCAATGGCTTTTGAGAACGACTCCCGTTCTCTGCCAGTATACCGTTCCACCAATAGCTATTGAGAATGTCTCCCGTTCTCTGTCAGTGTGCCCATTCACCAGTGGCTATTGAGAACGTCTCCCGTTCTCTGCCAGTATGCCTATCCACCGGTGGCTATTGAGAACGTCTCCCGTTCTCTGTCAGTATGTACTCTATTTGATTGCTTTCTACTGACGCTGTTTAATACTCTAATGACTTCTAGACTCGGCCCTATGTCCTATGACGCCCTGATTATTCTCCTAGAGCCTCTAGATACTACATTAAACCCTTCACCCTTAACTCCCCATTATTAGATTCTCCACCACCTGATATTGTAGGGCTCTTTATCACGGTAGCCCCATTCATTTTGTTTCACTGTGATCTGATTATTGCTTCATGCGTGACCTTGTTGTATATTTGTCCACCGAGCATTGGGTGGACCGCCGATTTGTGGTAAGATGAATTGGCTATTGATTTGTCAAAATGACCAGTTGGGGTGACTAGCCGGAGTGATCGACCGTAAGAATTCTGGGGAGGTTCAGGTTGGTTTGAATAGGGTGTGAGTTTGTTAGCCCCTTGTGGGGCTAACTACGACCTAGCGTCTTTGAGATGTTGTAATGTGTTATGTTTTGCGAATCATGAGATGTGTAATCCAAAATAAAGATATTTTATTACGAAACTGATAAAGGTAAGTAGTACATAAAGATATTTGTTATGAAATTTTCATGCGGGCTACTGGTAAAACCTCTTGAGGCGATTTGAATTCCAAATACGCTCGATCAGCTTGCCTTCCATAGTTTCCAACTTGTAGGTGCCTGGTCTGATGATTGCCGAGACTCTGTAGGGGCCCTCCCAGTTCTTGGCTATTTTCCCGCCTTGATTTGGTAGGGCGGCTTGTCTATCTCTGAGTACTAGGTCCCCTATGTCAAAATACCTAGGCTTTACGCGCGCATCGTGGTATCTTTTCACAGCTCGTTGATATTCTGTCATTCGGTGCTGAGCTGCGTCTCTCCGCTCTTCGAGGAAATTCTTTTCTAGTTGCAGTAGCTGCTCATTGGCCTGATCCTCATATTGTTGCACCCTATTCGTGGGGCATAGGACCTCGATAGGGACCTTGGTCTCGAACCCATACGTGAGGCTGAACGGGGTTTCCCCGGTTGCCCGTCGCGGTGTGGTTCGATGAGCCCACAGGATGTGGTTGAGTTGGTCCACCCATGCACCACCTTCTTCTTCTATTCGTTTCTTTAGTCCATCCATGATTGTTCTGTTCGCGTTTTCTACTTGCCCGTTTGCCTGGGGGTAAGCCACCGATACCTTGGTGTGCTTGATAGAATAATTTTCACAGAATTCTACGAAGTCCTTGCAATCGAACTGTCAGCCATTATTAGTGATGAGATGCTCAGGGAGGCCAAAACGGCAGATCGCTTTCCTCCACAGGAATTTGCGACACTGGTATTCGGTGATGGTTACCAATGGTTCGGCTTCGATCCACTTAGTGAAGTAGTCAATGGCGACTATGCAGAACTTGTGGCGCCCTGGCGCTTGGGGTAGCGGTCCCAGGAGGTCTACACCTCACTTAGCGAAGGGTATGGTTGTGGTGACCGGTGTGTAGAAGGTGGCAGGTCGGTTTTGCTTTTCTGCAAACTTTTGACAAGTATGGCAACTTTGAATCATTTGGATGCAATCTTGTATCATGCTGGGCCAGTAATATCCTTGGACCAGTAATTTTCTGGCCAGGGTGTTCGCTCCCTGGTGAGCTGCACATATCCCGCTGTGGGCTTCCTCGATTACTTGCTTGGCTTCGCTTGGTGGGAGGCATTTTAGTAGGGGTCCTCCGAAGGATCTTATGTACAGCTGGTTGTCCACCAATTGGTAGGCTGGGGCCCTTCGCTTGACTTTTGCGGCCTGTACAGGATCAGACGGAAGTTCTGCTTTCGTGATGTATCTGGTTAGGTCTCCTATCCAACTATCCAGGGATTGGATGCCTACTGGGGCTACCATTGCGATCAAGAGGGATTCTGTACTGGGCGCGTGGATGACCTCTCTCTTGCATATGTGTGCTAAGTGTCCTGGGGTACCTCCCAGGGAGATCTTCGAGAGTAGGTCAGCTTCCATGTTTTCCGTGCGGGGCACGTGTTATATTTCATAAGCGTCTAATTTTCCCAGCAATCCTTCAGTAACATCCTTATACATCCTCAAGTTTTCCCCTCTGGTCTCGAAGGTGCCTTTGATTTGTCCTACAACGAGTCGTGAGTCTGTTCGAATGCGAAGGTTACGTGCTCCAAGGGCGGTCGAAAGCCGTATGCCTCCGATCACTGCTTCATATTCTGCCTCATTGTTCGATGCTTGGAACTGGTATTCTAGGGCATAGTATACTTTGAACCCTTCTGGTGAGGTTAGCATGATTCCCCCTCCACAGTGTTTGGTGTTGGCTGCTCCGTCTGCACTCATTTCCCACCATGTATTCTGGCTGAAATCACTTGTTCTCCCCCTTTGGTCTCTTGCTGTACATTCCACGATGAAATCGGCCAGGGCCTGTGCCTTGATGGAGGGTTGGGGTTTGTACTCAATCCCATATTGGGTCAACTCCATAGCCCATTTCACCATTCGGCCGGAGGAAGTGGGGCTCCTCAGGATGTCGACGAGTGGTTGGTCTGTGAGTACCTCTACGGGGTGGGCTTGGAAGTATGGGACTAACTTCTGTACTGTGGTGATCAGGGAGTAGACCATCTTCTCTAGGGCGTATATCGGGTTTCTGCCCCTCTTAGTAATTTGCTGATATAATATATTGGATGCTGTAGCTTCTCTTCTTCCCGCACTAAAACGGAGTTCACTGCCTGCTCTGATACCGCCACGTAAAGGTATAAGGATTCACCTTCTTTGGGTTTGGCTAGTAGGGGTGGGGATAATAGATATTTCTTTAACTCCTCGAACGATGCTTGACATTCAGGGGTCCATTCGAACCCCTCTCTTCTTTTGATCACTTCGAAGAACGATAGAGAGCGCTCTGCTGATTTGGAGAGGAAACGGCTAAGGGCTGCCAGTCGTCCCGTTAGTTTTTGGATTTCCAGTAGGTTGGTGGGCGGTTGCATATCCAGTATGACTTTTATTTTCTCAGGGTTTGGTTTTATCCCTCTCTGTGTGACCATGTATCCTAGGAATTTTCCCCCACGGACAGCAAATGCGCATTTCTTTGGATTCAATCTCAGTTTGTATCTTTCCATGAGTTGGAAGCATGCTCTAAGGTCTCGAGAGTGTTCGGGGGCTTCTTTGCTTTTTACCAACAGGTCGTCGACATAGGCCTCCATGCTTTTCCCAAGCAAGCTGTGAAATATTTTGGAGACCATCCTTGTAAATGTTGCTCTGGCATTTTTCAGGCCTAACGGCATCACCTTATAGCAATAGACTCCATCAGGTGTTAGGAATGCCGTTTTTTCTTCGTCATGTTCTTCCATAAATATTTGGTGGTAGCCCCGAAAGGCGTCCATGAAGCTAAGTAGTGCGCAGCCGGCAGTTTGGTCTACCAGTTGGTCTATTCGTGGTAAGGGGAAGGGGTCCTTAGGACACGCCTTGTTGAGGTCAGTATAATCAACACACATTCTCCATGCTGGGGGCTTGGGTACTAGCACAACGTTAGCCTCCCAAGCGGAATAGGTGACTTCCCTGAGGTGACCGATATCTAGTAGGGTGGAAACTTCTTTTTTTTTTTTTTTTTACGAATTCTCTTCGGTCTGCCGCTAGGTGCCTCTTTCGTTGCATGACTGGTCGGGTGGCCGGATTGACGAATAAGCGGTGGGTGATGACCAACCGGTCAATTCCGGGCATGTCCTCGAGTCCCCAAGCGAATAGGATTTTGTATTCTTTCAGTGTCTGTAAGATGCTCAGGCGGACCTCTTCTGTTAACCCTTTGCCTATCTTGATCGTTCTATCTGGTCTGGAGTCCTCCAAAGCTACTTCTTCTAAATCGGCTACGGGTTCCAGCCTTTCCTTAGTCTCATCTCCTTTGGTTTTCTCGGTGATAGTTTGGACCTGTAGGTCGCGTCTCCCAATCTGCCGGCAAGAGAGGAGGTAGCATGAACGGGCCACATGGCGATCGCATTTAGCGATCCCCACTCCTTCGGGTGTTCGGAATTTTAAGCACAGATGCTCGAGTGACACCACAGCCCCTGGGTCCTCTAAACCCGGACGTCCTAGAATTACGTTGTGCACGGAATTGATGTTAACAACCACGAACTCCATGTCTAGGGAACGAACCCTTGGGTATTCTCCTATTTCCACGGGTAAGGTGAGACACCCCTCAGCCTCTACACTATCTCCGGTGAACCCAGTAAGTGGTGTCCACACCAAGTGTAGTTGTTCTCTAGACAGCCCTAGTTTGTTAAATGTCTCGAGGTACATGACATTGATACTACTGCCAGTGTCTACAAATACTCGACGGTGGTCCCGTTGATGTCCACGGTGACGACGAGGGCGTCGCGGTGTGGTGTTGGGCCGTTCGGGAGGTCTTCATCAGAGAAGGTGATGATGTCCCTCCAGCCTTCCTTGATGGGAGGTCTATGTTGCACTGCGCCTACATATAATTGTCTAGCCAGACGTTTCCTTTCGCGAGAGCTGTCTCCAACTGCAAGCCTGCTACAAATCATGTGGATCACACGCTTGTGTTTCCAGTTTCGATCGTCTTGCTCTTCTGGATTCCCCTCTTCTTGGTTGGGTGCTTTCTGTTGGGGCCTATCCCTAAGTTCGCCGGGAGGATCCAGGGCTGGTGCCCATGGAAGTTTTCGCCATTGGTTGGGGCGAGCAGTCGATTGTCTTTTCTGGATAAGCTCATCGATTTCTTTTTGTAGAGTAGTACATTCTTTGGTAGAATGTCCTGTGGACCTGTGATATCGGCAGTATCTGGCTCTTCCCGCGGCCGGCCGTTCCTCCGCCTTTGTGGGTGGTGGCGGTAGGTTCTCTGTAGGTCGGGGTGGTTGGACCTCGTGTACGTGCCTCGCCCTGAGGGCGGGGATTGCTCTGTGTCGAGGGGGAGGTGGCCCCCGAATGACGTTAGATCTCTCTTCCCGTTTAGACGGTCGGTCCAACTGACGCGTTCTCGTCTCGTCACGGGGTCGTTTCGCCTCTCGCTTTATTTTTTGTCGTAAAGCCTCTTCTGTTTCCGCGTATTTGTTGGCCCTCTGGATGGCCTGTGCATACGTGTCGGGGGTCTCCCTTCGTAGACTAGTGAACAGATCCCTTGACCGAAGGGCTTTCATGAATAAAGTGAGGGCCGTTCGGTCGTCTAGATCTTCCACAGCCTGGACTTCCTTCTGCCATCTTTTTAAGAACTCTTTTAGTGTCTCTGTTTCTCCTTGTTGTATGGCAGTCAAGGTCATGAAGTGCTTCTTTGTTTTCATGCTTCCTGCAAAGTAGGTTAGGAATTGTTCTGCTAGGGCTTCGAAGCGGTCGATGGACCCTGGTGATAGAGATAGGAAGCAATGCTGCGCTGCCCCGCCCAGGGTCGAGAAAAAGGCGCGACAGTACATGGGGTCCTCCGCCCCTATTACCATCATCTTTGCCTGGAAGCCGACTAAGTGATCGCTGGGGTCCCCCGTTCCATCGTAAGTATGCATTGTCGGACACTTGAAGTCTCTTGGCGCGCGATATTCTTGGATTTTCATAGAGAATGGACTAGCAGACAATAGAGATCGAGCGGTTGGTCGATCTCCCCTACCATCGACCTTCCTTTGGAGGTCTCTCACTTCCCTGGCGAGTTCTGCCATCTCTCGATCTCGATTCCCCTGACCAAGTTCTGGAGTTTCTCCACTACCCTCCACCATGTCTTGCAGAATTCTTCTTCGATCGAGATCTCCTTCCCTTGCTCTTCCCGTGTGAGAACCGGTTGCCTGGATGACCTCCACCCGTCGCTGGGGTTTGGGCCTAACTCTTTGTTGTGGGCTTTCTAACGGGAGGTTTCTGAGTTCAGGCTGTGGAACGGTTGTCTGTTGATTCAGGGGCCCTATGCGGTCAAGGACGGAGATTGCACGACGGGGTCCCTGGGGTGGAGCCGATCTCTGTGTTCTTTCAGGCGGTAAGTTCACGTTAGGCATCGGTCGTCAGCGATCTGAGTGGTGTTGTTTACCCGGGAGGGTTCTGGGGATCCTACCCTTGCGGTCTGGCCATGATGTAGGGCCCCTAAGTAGCGTGCAGCAGCCTCTACTATCTCGGGGGTGAGTTCTACTGGCTAGGTCCGTGGGACACCAATAGCCGGTGGGCGTGCGTTCAAGCGGACCTCCTCCTCTTCTCGGAGACCTCCCCGTTCGGCCTCCCTCTCCAAGGGAATATGCTGATCGTTCGGTACCTGCGAGGGGGGGCGACTGAGGGTTTCTCTCAAATCTCTGACTGGTCTAGCGACTAGTTGGTCAGTTCTAGTGTTTCGTCGTGTAGTTACCATGCTTTCAGGGTTTGAGGAACGAACGATAACTTTTCGTATCGGTCCCCATAGACGGCGCCAATGTTGGTTTTATGACTTTTGGGCAGTCAACGGCAGGCCAACACTACCGTTAGAATAACGAGAATATAGGAAAACTATATGGAGATAATATAGGAACGTTGTATTGATGAATATTGATTGTGAATGCTGAGAGCGTTGTCCCCTTCTCATCTATGTGAGAGATCTATTTATACATATTTTGGGCCTAGATCCCTACAAGGAATAAGAATTCTAAACTGCCTCATATTGGGAGTCTTAGTTACATAATAAGACCTAATTCTATTATACTAGAAATAATGAGTCCAATTCTGATTATATTGGGAATAATATGCCCAATCCTTGACAAACTCTTCGGTTGCTCTGTGTCTTGTATCTTTATTGGGCTTCCTTAATCCAGTTGCTTTCCTTGGGCCGGTCCACATGGCCCAGGCCTAGTACGCTATCCATCAAGTAACAATCTTATAAATTAAGTACACATAAAATCATTAGTTATGTTAGCCTATTACAACAAATTGTAATTGCTATAAAGAAGGATAACATTTTAGTGGACAAATTATTTGTTGGACCATGGACAACTAAATTTTATGGACCCTGAATCACATTTTAATTAACAATTACATAACAAAAATTAAAATCTTATCAATTAATTACACATAACATAATTAATTTGAATATTTGAGAACATAAATTTGTAATTGGTAATCATAAGGCTAACATTATAAGACAATTTTTTTGGTGGACCATTGAAGACAAAGTTGTGTGGACCATGAATAACATTATAAAAAAATAAAATATCATAATTATAAATTTTTTCAATTAAGTACACATAACGCCGTTATAATTTTACTAATGTACAACCTAATTTTGTAATTAGTATCACTAAGGCCAACATTATAAGACAAACTACTTGGTGGACCATGGACCAAAAAGTGGTGTGTACCATGGACCACAATGTGGTGTGAACCATGGATAACATTATAATTAAATATGATATATCATAAATATAAATCTTATCAATTAAGTACACATAACATAATTCATTTTACTATTATACAACATAAATTTGTAATTGCTATAAATAAGCCTAACATTATAAAATAAATTGTTGAACGTTACAATATATATTAATATATATATATATATATATATATATATATATATATATATATATATATATATATAGATTTTGAATCCGGTGCACACCCCCTTGGCAGATGAGCTCGTGAGCACATTTTCTGACCCTTAATTAGTTTAGATGAATGGTCTAGATGATTTGGGCTTTTTTGCCACGTGCATAAGCTTTGTGAGGACATTAGGGCTTGTTTTGTAATTTCGCAATGGCTTTTATTATAGCATGTATTTAATTTCGCTTGGGAATCTGCGTGAGGAAACAGACAGTTGATTGGTGAGGAAGTTGGATTAAATTTGTGATAATATAATAATAATAAGAGTTAATTCCATTTTTGGTTTGTGCATAGATGTAAGTCACCATGTGCAACTTAGGCTAAATAGATTTTCCTTTGGGGTGTTAAAAGTTGTGCAATGTTTCATACATGTGGGTCTCTGGGTTGTGCGTAGATGTGTGGCACCGTGTGCAAGTTAGGCTAAATGGACTTGGCATTGTGGGGTTTTCTTCTGTATGCCTGTGCGAGTTTGGGTTGTGGTCTGTGCGTTGGGTGGTTAACGGAATTGCTTGGCTTCATATGTGTGGGTTATTGGTTTGTGCATAGATGTAAGCCACCATGTGTAACTTAGGCTAAATGGAATGGGCTTTCGGGGGGTTATCTTTAATGTGTGTGTGCTGGTTAGGAATGGGTGGGTTTGGTCGTGGCGAGGTGGTTGGTACATACGTTCTGCACGTATTTTTGCTTTAGTTTCCCTTCGCTGTTGATGTGGAAAATTGTAATTATTTATGATGCTAAATGTTTTTGCAAACCCCTATTAATGTTTGCTCTTGCAATCTTCTCATTGACAATGGAATATTGTTAACTTATTTTGATGCATGTTGGTCTTTGCTAATGTCTATAATCATATTTATTTCTTTTGTAGCCTTTGCCTTATATTCCCACGATCATAAATTATACTCAACTATGGACGTGGGTTCCTAATGTTGTTGATGCTCACGAAAAGGAAGGGATTGAAGCTGTTCATCTGGCATCTAGAAGTTTAAAGAGCCTTATTTGCTGCTAATCTACATTAAATGTGTTATTCCCTATATCCTATATAATTGATATTGCTATTTTTATTCCATGAGCCTTAGATGATTGTATCTTGATTTGTTTCATTTTGTTTTCATTTCCTAAAGTTTTTATTAGTAAATGGCTATGCCGGGTCAATGATCAATTTATGTTTTTTTTGGGACTACATTTTCTCTTTTTCGTTTTGTATTTTAGGTGTGTGTAAATCACATTGTAGTTTGTGCGCATCACATTTCTGGTATGTGGGAATCTGCTGCGCAATATACACTGTCACATTTTGCTATGTGCATGATAATAATGACGTCTGTGCAATAATAGAATTTCAGCATAACGCATGCGCCTTATATCTCGAATGCACATTGTCACCGGCATTACGCACACACTGTCACCCGTGTGCGCACAGGCCATAGAATGTGAAATAAAACCTAATTAGCAAATATCTACGTTCTCATTCCAACGCATCCACCTACTTCATTAAGCATAAACCGGTTAATGCGGACGCCTTTATTACCGTTTTATTTTAAAATGCAATCTTACAGCGGTGTGTGCATTGTTATAGTATGGTGTGTGCATTATTTCTTGTTGGTTTTTTGTTTTTTTTAATGTATATAAACAATGATATTTTTTTAATGTTATTGCATGTAGAATATAAAAGCGCATGACCTTTGCATTTCTTTATATGCTTTTATTTTTTGTATTTGGTGTGTGCATTGGAGTGTTATGACGTGTACAATAGACCACATGATGCAAAGTTTCATTGCCAAAAATTTGTACACACCATACCATAAAAATGCACACACCAGTGTAAAAACAAAACTAAAAAAACGACATGATGCTACTTTCATTTTCCAAAAATTTGCGAACGCCAAATCATACAAATGCACACACCACCGTAAAAAAAAAAAAAGAAAAAAAACCTATTAATTTTTACAATATATTCCTTGTAAAACAAGCCAACCACAAGAAATCACGCACAAGAAAAGGCCTGTGCATATAGTGGTTGCATATTATAAGGATTATGGTTGTGATTTTTTTTTTTTTCACAATCTTTCACAGGCGAAATACACTCATTGTTGTCTATGCATCCTCCCGTCAACCTATCGGTTTCACAAACAGACATGTATGCAACCACCTCAACACGCACACGCTACGCACATAACAGATATTCTAGTTCGTCCACCAACCCCCACCCCCCTCCCACCATCCCAGCGGAAAAAACCCCAATATTCAGAGTATGCACAGACAATGGCACGTAAATGCACTTACCCGTTCGTTTTCTCCTCAAACCTTGTTCACGCCAAGTTCACCTCATCAGCCTTTATAGTAATTCAAAGTATTAATTTCCATCCATAAAATCCCTAATTTAATGCTACAGATTCCAATAATATTATGTCCATAAATAAATTAGAATTACAATTACTAATATATCCTTTACATTGGAAAATGTCATTAATTACTACCCTAATCTCTTATAATCTCAACCATTGATGGAAATTGAATCAATGGATAGAGTTAAAGACATTTTTAGTCCTAAATTTATAGTGGCTTGGACAAATTTAGTCCTTTATAAAAAAAAATTTGCCATTTTATGGACAGAGTTATTGTGGCGAGGACATTTTTGGTCTTCCGTCTATATTTCTGTTAGATAACTGTCTGAGAGAGGGGTAATTACGTCAATTTAGGCTATCTCCTTCTATCTATTATATCTATGTGTGTTTTGTTTTCTTCTCGGTCATAATTCGAAGGAGTCGGAGAGTCCAAGTTGCAGTTGTACGAAGAAATTGCCGGAGAATCGAAGCCGCCAAACAAGTTACTAATCAAATAGATAGAAGGAGAATCGAAGCCGCCAAACACACATAGATATAATAGATAGAAGGAGATAGCCTAAATTGACGTAATTGCCCCTCTCTCATACGGTTATCTAACAGAAATATAGACGGAGGACCAAAAATGTCCTCGCCACAATAACTCTGTCCATAAAATGGCAAATTTTTTTTATAAAGGATTAAAATTGTCCAAGCCACTATAAGTCTAGGACCAAAAATGTCTTTTACTCCAATAGATATTAGGAGGCCTTATGGTCTCATCTATTAGAGGGGGTGCACCGGATTCGAAGCCTATATATATATATATATATATATATATATATATATATATATATATATATATATATATATATAATGTTTAATTTCTTCGGTCTGAAACGCAAGAGATGAGGACGAAGGGTCTATACCCTTCTCCTTTCTCTGTCTGAACAGATCTGAGAGCTTGAAGCTCTCTTCAATACTCTACCGATCTCTCTCTCAAGCCTATACCTACATCATTTTCCTATCATTCTTTTGCCTTCATCACTTGCTATTAAACCAATTTAGAGATTTTTTCTATAATCGGGTCTAGATTCCGATGATCCGTCTATCACTACATCGTCTCAAATTTTTCATTTCTGGACCAGATCTGTGCTTTCAACCTCTTTTTGAGCTTGAAATCTGGATGTATTGAAGCTAGTGTTCTCATTCAAGGTTAGGATCAAACTCTTAATTTCTAAATTTAATTTAGGATTTTTTAGGATTCACTGTTTTCATTTCTAAATTGTAAGAATTTAGTCGATTTGATGTTGTTATTTTCTGAAGAATATGCATGCACATCGATCTTGTTTCGATTTTGTTTGTATGTTCATAGATCTAATATGTTCAAATAAACTTCTAAGATTTCTACATATTTCATTTTAGAATTTTATGATTTTCAGAAAGCTATGGTTCGAAGTTGATTTTGTTTTACTGTTAATCTAGAGACCCCTTACTATTTTATCTGTATAATGTCAAAATTTCCTTTTCTAAAAGCTCTAATTGTACTATTATTCACAGAATTGCTAACTTTTAAAATTTGTTTTTCATGTAATTTGAGAGGACAATAATTGAATTCTTAGAGGCAATGGCTAGCAGATATTGCATAGCAAGACTGGCGAATTCATTGAAGCTTGATTTCAAAGTGTAAAAAATATAAGTTTCGAAATTACCTTTGTTTTCTTCATTTGGTTTCCTTTTGATACCTATAATAGTTGACTTTGTAATTTTCCTCATTGGACTGTATAATTTTTCTAGCTGAAACAGAGTCGTTGAATTATTTGTTTGTCTGAGCTCTCAAATTGACTGACTGTTTTTCGGATTACTGAATTGAATAGAATAGTTGTAAGTACAAGGGGTCATTTCAGAGTATTTAACTGTTTTTGTGTTTTGAGATCCGCACTGGAATTGAAGGGTTTTTTTAGCTGTAATGATAGCTGCCATCACTTGTATTTAATATCCAAATCATTGTTTATTTCACTAACAATGAGTAACTGTTACTTCCAAACACTGTTATTTGTTGTATTCATTAGATGTATGTTACTGGCTAGCAAAAAAGGTTGTTATGCAACTTAATATGAATTTCCAGATTCAGTTTGTTCATATTATTAACAGAGGCTGTAATGTGTTATTTCCATTTGTTTATATAGGGCAAAAATTGATGATTTTGAGGAATTGGAGAGCAGACCATAATCCCAAAGCGAGCATGTAGAAGACAAATAATGCATTTCTAACATCTAAGAGATTAGGTTACTATTTGAACTTTATTCTGTTTATTTTGAATCCTTTTTATGTATAATGGTATAGTTTGTAATTTTGTTCATTGCACTATACAAACCAATACTTAGAAAAAGTATCATTTAATTTTACCTTTGTATGGGCTTTAGATTATACAAAATATGTCTTGTTTTAGCCTTTTTGAATTGAATACATCATTGGTTTCAGTTACTGTGCTCATTTGCAGTGGAATTTTTTTGTTATTAAATTTGAAAAACTGTGCTAAGCAATTTTAAGTAATTGCTTTGGAAAGCAAGGTTTTTTACTTAATACATTATAACATTAGTGGACTACTTGGTATATGTATTTCATCAATATAAACAATTTTATTGCTTTGGTAGATAAATTAAAGTTTTATGCTTAATCTGTTTTTTTGCAAGATTAATCTATCTTTAATAACTAATGTTATCATGTTAATGTTCCACATTTTCCAAAACTTGAGAATTTTGTACTGACCTATTGTTTTAATATACTTTCAATTACTTGAAGTTAAGAAATTATTTTTATACTTAATTATTTGTACTTAATTAGAGTTTGTTTTGATTTCTCGGTTGAGAACTTTACATTTTTGTGCAACATAAGATGACTTTATAAAATTAGCAATTAGCAATGTAAATGGATTGGTACGTGATGCAAATTTTTATTTACTTCAATGGAATTAAATGTGTTACAGTTAATTGTATATGGCAACATTTATTTGATGCAAACTTTTTGTGTAAACTGGGTCGAAAAAATGTATTTATAATAGTCAATTTGTGCTTGGTAATCTTCAGAAGCAAGTGCTTTTATGAAGTAAGGCTGAATAGAGTTATTTAGATAGATATATTTCCAAATACTTAACTTCCACATATTTTTTTTTAAACTTATATTGATGGTTTTGTTGCTCTGGGTTTTTATATTGGCTCAGGAAAACCAGCAGGGCAATAAGAAGCAGTGGAGAGGCACAATTAGAGTTGTAACAGTTTTGCAAGGTATGTATACTAACTTTATAAATAACAATTCTAAGTTATATAGTTGAAATTCTAGTCCAGTTATCTTGCATGAAGTTAGATATATTGTTTTCATGCTTCAGTAAAATTAGTCGTAAACAGTTTCTCAGGGGATGTGTCATTTTGCCAAGTCTTTTTTTTTTTTCTGAAATGTTTGTATTAGTTTCATTTTACAGAATAGGAGAAGTATATTATTTATCCAATTAAACTTTACAAAACTACATTTACATAGTGTTCAGTGATTGACAATACTTGTCCCAGATCTCTTCATTCTACTACCTTGTTACTTGATCATTCTTGTTTGAAACCCCCCTAAAAAAAAAAAAAGAAATAAAACTGGAAGATTAGGGGATATGTTTTTTTCCAAACTCCTATTGTTCTTTCATGCTGTTAGTAGTTTCATGTTACAAAAACCCAGAAGTACTTTATGTTTTAGGGAATTACCCTTTGTTCCAATACTTGTCCCAGATTTGTTCCTTTTAATACCTTGTTCCCTGAGCATCCTTGTTTGAAAATCACCTGAAATAAAAATGAAGAAAACTGCAAGACATGTTCTAATACCATTGGTTAATTTAACATTGTGAGAATACAGTTATACAATATTAAAAAAAAAAAAAAGCATTTCAACCTTAGAAAACAATATAACAAAATCAATTTAATAAGTAGGGCAACCCATGATAAATCCAATAAGACAGAAATCACAAAAAGATTTTTAAGAATTGTCTAGATCACAATAACAATATTTTTCAAGAACAGATCATTCTACATCTTCTCCTTCTTGATGTTGGATGTCGTTGACTTCTTGCGACTTTTGGATGAGGAAAACTCATCCAAAAGTGACCTTTTAGTAGTTAATAAGTTAACCACAGTGTCATCCAGTTCCTTTTGAGAGGGCTGCACAGATACAGGACTATTAACCTCTTCTCTTATAGATTCTTCCTGTGTATAACAAAATGGATGAGTCAGTTATAGCAATAAGTAATAAAAAATAGATAACCTATTAACAGGCTTAGTAAGAAATTCTTACTTTAGAATTTGCATGACTGTTTGTTTCCTCCTCAAGCATCTTTGAGATTAAATCCTGCTCTTGATGCTCGACAAACCTGTCACTATAGGTTTGGAGCAAATGTTCTTCCCTTAACAGCCTCAACACATTGAAACGAGAATTAATACCCCGCTTTAGAGCCTGTTTTAACCCTACTTTAAACAACATTTTCATTCCCACAATAGCATCCAACTCAGGGGGTACTTCAACATCAACCTGCCATTTGAGTTTGCCTTAGTCCATTTATAACAACATCTACCTCTAAACCATAAGTTAATTTTAGGGAACATAAATTTACCTCCTTGTATTTCTGATACAAAAGACAAGCAGGGATACCAACCAGCTCTGCCACTTCTCTGTCCCAAAGCAATAGTGGAGCATCTCCACTCTTGTCTAAAGCCATAATAACCACCTTATACCTGACTGTACCCTGAGTATATGGCTTATGACACTTAGTACACACAAGTGATCCTCCGTCTTCTTTAAGTTTCTTATTACAGCCGGGTGACATGCATGATACATAGTACCACCCATCATCAAGATCTAAACCCAAGATCTCAGCAGCAACAAATACAAAAATTAATGTATAAAACAAATAGAGGAACTCAGATATAATCTAAGTATGAAATGCGAGTACTTTTTTTTTTTCTTACCACTTGTGTCTTCTTAAGGTCGTAGCAGGTAGTCACAATGAGTCCAGCATTTTTAAAGTCACTAATGCCTGCTGACTGTGAGTGCAGAGTGCCCGTACTCAGACTTTTCATGGGAGTATTTTCAGATTTCAAGATTCAGGATAATTGTTGAACAAAAACAGTTGTTAGCAATCTTTATACTAACATTTTTTTTCCAGAAAATTGGCATGTGATGAAAATTTAATCTGATGCCCATACTTTACTGAAAGCATAAACTATCTGTGAGTAAATTGCCTATTTGCCTTATTTGTTTTGCAGTCTAGAAGCTTTTAAAATGTTGTTTAACTGACTAATATCTTATAGGAATTACAGTATTACCATTTTAGAGTATACAGCATGTTAGTAACAATTTTTCTATTCAACAAATGGCATGTGATGAAAATAGACTATGATGCCAATACTTGACTAAATTTATAGAATTTTTCTTCTAAAGTGCCTATTTGCCTAAAAAGCATAAAATGTTTGTGAGTAAATTGCCTATTTGCCTTTTATACTAACATTTTCTTTTCCAGAAAATTAGCATGTGATGAAATTTTAATCTGATGCCCATACTTTACTGAAATCATAAACTTTTTGTGAGTTAATTGCCTATTTGTCTTATTTGTTTTGCAGTCTAGAAGCTTTTAAAGTGTTGTTTAACTGACTAATATCTTATAGGAATTACAGTATTACCATTTAGGAGTATACAGCATGTTAGTAACAATTTTTCTATTCAACAAATGGCATGTGATTAAAATAGAGTATGATGCCAATACTTGACTAAATTCATTGAATTTTTGCTTCTACATTGCCTATTTGCCTAAAAAGCATAAAATGTTTGTGAGTAAATTGCCTATTTGCCTTTTATGTTTTGCAGTCTAGAAGCTTTTAAAATGATGTTTAACTGTCTAATTTCTTAAATGAATTACACTATTACAGTATACAGCATTGATGAAAATACACCCTGATGTCAATACTTGACTAAATTCAGGAATTATTTGTGACTAAAGTGCCTATTTGCCTTATTTATTTTGCAGCTTAGAAGCTTCTAAATTATTTTTATCTGAGTTAGTGGTTCTAGGAATTACAGTATTACAGTATACCTAATTTATTAGTAACCTTTCTTTTTTAAACAATTGGCATGTGATGCAATACTTGACTTGAACTCTAGTAATTGTTTATTTCAAACTCTAGGAATTCTAGGAATACTTACTTTGGTGTACTTAAATTCAACAAATAGGACTTAAATTAGGTGTACTTACTTGGACTTGAACTCTAGGAATTCCTCAAAATCCTCATTGAACCATAGCTTGGTAGGTCGTATGAGCTGGTGATTCTAACCTCACCTAAAAACAAAACATACATATTAGGTCACTGGAATGAGTAATAGACATTAGACTGAACAGGGAGAGAGAAACTCACCACTAACCAACTTAGCACGACAGCACTGAATCACTACAATAAGTGGTTCCTTCGAATCACTATTGTAATACGGCATCAGTGAAGAAACATGTTCATTCCAGAGGGTACATGTCAGGGTGTTCTCACTGTTGTCACATTAGTACAAACCCAAAAAAAATTACTATCAGTATAGGCTAAATACAGTAATTGAGATATAAAAAACCAAAAAAAAATTACTGTGAGTAGTACAAACAGAAAAAAAAAATAGTAATTACGCATTGTCTTCAATTTGAAAGTCAATCAGTCTTGTTGTCTTTCCACCTATAATCTTAATAAGATATTAAAAATTGGAGAAATGAAGAGATAGTACCAATAAATTCCTTGTCGTTAACATCGACATGGTCTTTTAAAGAAATGAAACTCTTTAAGCGAAACATTTTAAAAGGAAATCCTAAAGAGTTTATCTCCTTCACTTCTGTTCTGTAGTTTAGTTTGATCATATAGGCATGTTGTGTAATCTTGTACACATAGTAATTTGTCGCAGCCATGAAATTTTTGATTTCGAACAGTTTTCCCTCTTTGAATATTTATCTATATTTCACCACATCTTTTTTTTTGAATGGTGGCATGAATGTAGTCTCCCTGACAATAACATAAACAGAAATTACTAAGAATTGAAATAGGATCAGATTAGTAGATAAGAGTAACATGATGCATTAAAAATAGATACCAGTACCTCTTCATCATGCAGTAACACTTCCATACTCTTACTGCTATGACCCTCTCCCCTTTTCTCTAGAACTTCGAATACCCTTAGGGGGCGTTTGGTTCAGGTTATATAACATAACCAAGGGAATGTGACATTCCAAAGCTCACATTCCTGTGTTTGGTTCACATTATCTCAGGGAATCTAACATTCCCTAGGAATGTCACATTCCCTCCACATAGGATTTTGAAGGGAATGTGATTCCCTTCCATTTCTAAGGTTATGTAAGATAACCTTGGTTATGTTAGTTTATCACACACACACACACATATAATTATTTTTGTAATTATATATTTTTTTATTTTTATTATGCTAGGTTAGCCTATAAAATAATTTTGTTTCTCAAGTTCAATATTTTAGTTAATATTTTAAAATCATGTAATTATATATGATACCGTTATCTTATTTACTTATTTTAATTTTAAAATTTATTAAAATATATGAAAATATGTTAAGGATATTGTAATGTGTGAATAAAAGATAACCCTAAACCAAACATGATTATATTACATACCCCAATTTTAACCAAACACAGGAGTCTAACATTCCCAGTAATCTAACATTCCCAGCAATCTAACATTCCCTAAGGTAATCTGACATTCCGTGAACCAAACGACCCCTTACTGCTCTAACGCGAATTGCCCTGAGCTGGTGTTGAGGTTTGATGTCTTTCACAAGTATGAACATTGAAGGCATTGTGTTCAACAAAATGTGATTTCAAATGCTCTGTTAGTAAACAAATCTTCGGAAGGAATAATTTGCACCAAGAAGACGTTTATTTATAGAGTTTGAAGCGTTGCAAATTTCAAATGAATGAACAGCAGCCTGTGTATGGGAAATACACAATTTCTTTTTATGTATTAAATGCAGAGTCAAACTCTGCGTATTCTATGTATAATTTGTAATTTTTTTTTTATCATGTGAGCATCTCTCTATTCAATCTTTGGTTATCCGATGATGCTAATGATGTGGTTTAAAGTACCAAGACTTCTACATTAAATGTATTGCTTGAGAAGAAAGGACTGTAGGCTTTACAAATTAGAATTGCTTTAGAATACGAACAGTTTTCTTTATCAAAACGGCTACGAATATTCCCAATTTGTAATGCCATTAGACACGCGTAAAAAAAGAAATAACCGGCTATTCTCTCTATTATGTGTTTGCAAAATGGCATAGTATCAAATGGGCGGAAAAAATTATTGCCAAAAACTTCTTGCTTTATTATAGACTTAGATTAGATAATAATAATAATTATTATTATTATTAGACAAAATAACTTTTTTTTCCTCCTGAGTTATATACTTATTGTACTTTTTCCCTCTGAATTAAAGTGACTATACTTTTCCATGAAATATTAAATCGACATATTTACTCTTAAAATGAATATTTCATTTATTTTTTCTTCTCCAACAAATTATGACTACAATTTAGTTCAAACTAAACTGACACTATAGCAACTAAACTAAAATATTCCAATCTATCTAAATAAATAAATATATATATATATATATATATATATATATATATATATATAAAAGTAAAATCCTCCTAGCCAAGTTTTCCCCCCAAAACTTATGGACATTTCTGTAATCTAATAATAATAATAATAATAATAATAATAATAATAATAATAATAATCTTTATCTTTATTATATATATATATATATATATATATATATATATATATATATATATATATATATATAATAAAGCAGAATCTTTTGGCCACAAGATTTTGGCTCCAATTCCCGCCAACAAAATACGGTGTCGTTCGGAGCCTGACTTTTGGGATGCATGTAATACGGCGTCGTTTAGAGCCTGACTTTTGGGATGCATATGTTAATTATGAGATAGATTTATTGTAAATGACTGAATTTAAAAGGAGTCTCTTCAACCTCCATGTAATCCTTGGAAGACAAAATGTTGTTATTAATCATGTCCCTTTGGGACTCTTTGGTATCCACAAGATTTGCATTAATTACATATTCTATAAATACATCTTCTAATTGTAAACAAACCTAACAGTTCATTTGTATTACAAACACTGTGCCGATATTTATTATTTACACTATAGCTCCAAAGCTTCATCATCATTGTCCCTCTATACATTCTGGGCAGTGAAATATATCCTATAAAAACCCGAAGCGCTATAAGAGTCCGCACATGAAATACCAGAAAGGAGAGACAGCGAGACAATCAAATGTAAAGAATGCCTATTCCATGATTCAATAGGTAATCGTGAACATTGTTCTTTTTTTTTTTTTCATGAAAATATATTCCTTTATAATATTGTTGTTCTAATATTTCATAGTGTGCAAATATATACATGTCTCAAAACCTTTTATTTGAAGTACAGCAAAATGAGAGAAATATTCACATGTGTGTTCATATTTGCATATAGATGCAAATAAAGGTAGAGTTCTGAGCACACCTTATTCAAGAGCTTCAAATCTACAACTACTTTTGACATACTTCCTGCAGGAGAATCAAATTGTGAGTAAATGACCATCAACATATTCTTGGAAAGAGAAAATGCCCATATAACAATATAGCATCTCTTCAGATACTAAGACCTTCAGAGTTTTCACTTTTCAATGAGCATGGACACTGTAGTTGATTTGAAGGCTTTTTCAATGACCACATCTAAGAACTTTTTATATTTCAATTACAATCAAAGTATTAAAATATATTTAGTTTGTGATATGGGTCTTTTGTAGGGTTTTGTAGGGTGGGGTTTTGCTGTTAAAATGGAAAAGTGCATCCTTCACTGCTTCACTAATACATCTTTTGAAGCCTTCAAATATAAAATAAAAATGACAGCAAAATGAGAGAAATATTCACAGGTGTGTTCATATATGAACATGCATATAGATCGTTCTGAGCACACCTTATTCAAGAGCTTCAAATCTACAACTACTTTTGACATATTCAAGAGCATCAAATCTACAACTACTTTTGGCATACTTCCTGTAGAATAATTAAATTGTGAGTAAATGAAGATCAGCATACTCTTGGAAAGAGAAAATGCCTAGACAAAAATATAGCATCTCTTCAGATTCTAAGACCTTCACGGCCCGTTTGGTTCACGGAATAGGTCGGGAATGGCATAGCATTCCCAGTAACAGGCCTATTCCTTTGTTTGGTAACCATGTGTATAACCAGGCTTAGTATTCCTAATAATAGCCTATTACCTCATTTGAGGTAATAGCTATTACTAGGGCCCCCCTGGTATTAACTTATTCCTGAGCCCTCAGGAATAGAATTGTTTTATTTTTTTAATTTTAACCTTTATCGTTCTCTGCGTTCTCTCCCTCATCTACGATTCCTTCCCCGAATCTTTTCATCATCAGCACCAATCAAACAATTCATCCACCATTCTGCATCAATCAAACAATTTCATCCGTTATTCTGCATCAATCAAACAATTTCATCCGTCATTCTACATCAATATGCAATTCTTCATATCATCTATATCAACATCAACATCAAATTAAAGCTTCAAACAAGGTAAATTTCTGAAATTTAATTTTTAAAAATTAATATTTAATTATATAAATGTATACATATATATACTGCATATATATATATATATATATATATATATATATATATATATATATATATTACTGCTGCGGCTGCGACACCGCCGCAGCTGCAACATGTATATATATATATATATATATATATATATATATATATATATATATATATATATATATATTACTGCTGCGGCGCGGAGGGTTCTACAGCCGCAGTAGTATTGGTTTTTTTTTTTTTTTTTTAATTTATTGTTTATTGTTTTTATATTTTATTTTATTTTTGCTGCAAAGGTGTTATTGTTTATTTTGTTTTTTTTTTTTTGTTTTTTTATCACAGTAGTGTTATTGTTTGTTTTTTTTTACAGTAGTGTTATTGTAATGTGTATAAGTTATTGTAAGTTTTAAATTTAATTTGCAGCTATGGCTCGATTGTGTTTAATAAATCGTACTGAAAGAAGGAAAAAATATGTAGCTGTGTTATATATATATATATATATATATATATATATATATATATATATATATATATTACTGTTGCGGCGCAGAGGGTTCTGCAGCCGAGTAGTATTGGTTTTTTTTTTTTTTTTAATTTATTGTTTTTATATTTTATTTTATTTTTGCTGCAAAAGTGTTATTGTTTATTTTGTTTTTTTTTTTTTTTGTTTTTTTTATCACAGTAGTGTTATTGTTTGTTTTTTTTACAGTAGTGTTATTGTAATGTGTATAAGTTATTGTAAGTTTTAAATTTAATGTGCAGCTATGGCTCGATTGCGTTTAATAAATCGTACTGAAAGAAGGAAAAGATGTGTAGCTGTGTTGCGTGTATGGTTGGATATGTGTGCTTCTGTGAGTTTATTGTTTATAATGATGATGTCAACCTTGACAATTTTGTGTTCTAATAAAAAACGAGTGAATTCTTATATAATTAACGCTTTAGGGTCTCGAGAATATATGTTACGAACTGTGTATTCGTGTGATGAAAAATGCATATCTCAACTTAGGATGAATCGACATACTTTTGTGAAGTTGTGTGCAATGTTACAAACTATAGGAGGGTTAAGGCCAACAAGAAATATGCTTGTTGATGAGCAGGTAGTAATATTTTTATATATTATTGCTCATCATGTAAAAAATAGGATCATTCAAAATAATTTTCAAAGGTCGGGGGAAACTATTAGTCGATACTTTAATATAGTATTAAATGCTGTTTTGAAACTCTGAAATCATTTATTCAAAGATCCTGAACCAGTCCCAACTACCTCTACAGATCATAGATGGAAATGGTTTAAGGTAGTTAAACATATCCCCTACACTTGAGTTATAAGTTTAATTACAATGTGAATATATATTTAATAATATTTGATATTGTTTCTAGAATTGTCTAGGCGCTTTAGATGGAACTTTCATTAGAATACAAGTGTCATCAGAAGATAAGCCTAGATATCGATCTCGCAAGGGTGAAATTGCAACAAATGTATTAGGTGTATGTACACCTAATATGCAATTTGTGTATGTTCTTCCGGGATGGGAAGGATCTGTAGCAGACAGTAGAGTTCTTCGGGATGCATTATCTAGAAGGCATCCACTTAAGGTCCCTAATGGTAAGCATTATAATATTAAATTCCAAATATCATGTAATATAATATGCATTCTTATTAAACTATAAACTGATGTTTCTAGGTTGTTACTACTTAGTTGACGGAGGATATGCTAATAGTGAGGGATTTTTGGCACCATTTAGAGGTCAAAGGTACCACTTAAATGAATGGCGGCAAGGTCATCAACCCGCAACTCCTCAAGAGTTCTTTAATATGAAACATGCAGCTGCTCGCAATGTCATAGAACGTTGTTTTGGGTTATTGAAAATGAGATGGGCTATACTTAGAAGTCAATAATTTTATCCTGTTAGAATACATAACAGAATTATACTTGCATGTTGTTTGCTGCATAATTTTATTAGAAATGAGATGATTGTTGATCCTTTGGAAAATGAATTCGTACAAGGTAACGGCATACATGAAGATGATGATGTTACACAAATAGAGCCTTCAGAAGTTTGGAATAATTGGAGGATAGAATTAGCAAATGACATGTTCAATGAATGGACAGCATCTAGAAATTAAGGACATATTCATTGATGTTTGATTTTGTGATTTGGTGTTTTTTGTAATGTGGTTTATGAACAATGTGTTTGAGTTTGATTAATAATTTATTATTTCAATTTATTTTTAGTTAAGAATGGCTTCCCCCTACATCTGCAACTATCGGCTCTCAAAGTGTTAAGCAAACAAAAAGAAAGTGGACACCCGAATACCTAGCTAATACACGTATAAATAAACAATAATAATAATATTTTAAAAAATTACCAGATCTGTATGATAACTAAGGAGGAGATTTCCAACCATCAGGCTCCAGA